ATCTGTGTTGGAAGAAGTGCAGCCAGAGTGCTCCTTGGAGACTAGGATGGCCAAACTTCATCTCTCATACTTTGGACATATTGTCAAGAGGTACCAGTCACTGGAGAAGGATATCATGTTTGGTAAGGTGGAGGGTACGAGAAAAAGAGGAAGCCCCCATTAAGATGGATTGGCAATATGGCAGCATCAATGGGCTCAAGCATGACAACAATTGTGACGTTGGCCCAGGATCAGGCAGTGTTTCATTCTGTTGTGCATAGGGTCGCTTTGAGTTGGTACCAACTTGATGGCACCTAACAACAACAACTCAGCGTCACTGAATACCGCCTGTACTCTTGTTTTTCTTTACACTTTTCTTTAAATTCACTCATTTCCTACCGAAATGAATTTCTTTTAAAGTGAAACTTCCTAATAAATTATGTATGAAAACAGTATCATTGGCCATACACAGACGGTAAAAAGAACCTTGGTTAAAACCAAACCATGGTAAATTCTACTTTACTTCTCTTGCCTGCAGAATGCTTGGAGGACAGAATGTCTGTACTCTCTTGTTATCAAACGGGAACTTAGGGAGGTATAAAGACAAGCCAGCCCCTATTTGAGAATTTCTTTGTAACCTAATCAGTAAAATTGAAAAATCATTGGAAACGGAACAACATTCTCAGTATGCAAGTCATTGTTGGGGGGCGGGGAGGGGGGATCCCTGGATCTGCTATAACAATGTTCCACAAAATGAGTGACTTATAAGAACTGAAAATTTTTGACTCAGAGTTCTAGAGGCTTGAGGGCCAGGTCAATGTGTTGCCTGGGACGGACCTGCTCCCTCTGAATCCCTAGGGAAAGAGTCTGTTTTGTTCTCTCTCAGCTCTGGTAGTCCCAGGCATTCCTGGCTTATAGATGTTTCTTCACATGGCTTTTCTTCCTCTTTTGGGCTCTGTGTCACTTCTCTTTTGTAAGAATACCACTAGCACTGGATCCGTATCCACCCTACTCCAGCATGTTAACTAATATTTCCAAAGAAGGTAAATCCCATAGTGACTTATGACTTTAGCACATATTCTGGGGGGACACAATTAAATTCATAATATATGGTGTCCATGTATCACATAAAAATCTTCTTTTATACCACCAGAGGTGCCTGCCTACACTAGGAAACACTGGTGTACTGTCCACAGGACCATTGGGGTGAGGGTTTAACTACTGCATCCTTTGAGAGCAAACATGGAAACTTATTTAGCAGTAATCCTGTTTAGCAATCTTAGGCTCTGTTCTGTAGGTTAGATACTAGCCTAACCATAGAGTACCATATGAAAGGGCCAAAAAAAAAAAAAAAACACAAACCCATTGTTGTCAAGTGAATTCGGACTCATTATGACTCTGTTAGAGTAGAACCACTCTGCAGTGGTTTTTTGGCTGTAATCTTTTTTGGAAACAGATCTCCAGGTCTTTTTTCTGCAGTACAGCTGTGTGGCTACAAACTGCCAGCCTTCAGTTAGTAGCCAAAAACAAACCATTTGTATCACCAAGGCACAGTGAAAGATCAGAGGCTCAGCCAATTTCAGCTGCAAACACAGAACTTGGTTTATCTTAGAAATTGACAGGCGGACTAACATCTCTGTGTCTGCCTTCCCCTTCCCCCAGGATCGTTCTTAGAGGACAGGAGATTGTGAACTCTGTTGTTCCCAAATCAAACGGCGTCTTCAACTTCCAGAAGGCGTATAAGCTAACTGAAGAGGAGGTAAGGTTGCCATCGTGTCTTTCTGTGTTTCCCTGGGATGATGGATTGGTGTCACCACTTGAGGTCACCACTGAGGACATAACACTGGGCCATGAACCTTTGAGTTTCAATGCCTATGAATCTGTGATTTGAGTACCTGCCTAAATATCTGATTGAGCTGGTCCAGAGATAATGCTTACCAGTGTGTGTAGGGTGACAACTTTCCTCCAGAATTTGCCCATTATTAAAATGAGAACATTTAGCCCATAAGTAATCCCCCAGGCATCTCCTAGTTGCCAAAGCTATCTCACTTTTCTCCTTGCAGGCTCTGGATGTCAGTGACCACTTTCCGGTTGAATTTAAGCTACAGTCTTCAAGGGCTATCAGCAACAACAAAAAATCAATTGCTCCAAAGAAGAAAAAAAAGCCCAAAAGCTCCTAGATACAAGAGCAACATTTTATCAAGCATTTCTTGCCTCTAAATAAACAGCTTTAACAAATGTGAACTGCTCCCTACACTCAGGAAACAAGACTGGTCCAACTTTTCAACTAAAATTAAATCCCACCTGAACCAAATTAGGAAGAAAGTCTTCCATCAGCCCACCTAGGGCCCATATAGCCCTGAATTGTACAATAAGGAAATGATATGAGAACATTCACAGTCCAAAAGGATGGGTGGTCTTCACCCCTTGAAGCTAGAGTCGTATCAGTTGTCACCACCATTGACACCACTCCACTCTGACGTTCGAGGCAGTAGGAGAAAAAGCTTTCTGTCTTCACAAGAGAATCCTGTCCCACAGGAAATGACCAGAAATACCAACTCCTCAACACCACCAAACTGATGTAGAAGCCTGTTGGAGGGATCTATGCCTTCCTTTCTGAGGTCAGATCCCATCATACTTCCCAGGATGAAAGACAGCAGCCACTCCCATCGGCCTCTGAATTGTCCTCCTCCAACTCGGTGAGCCCAATAAGCACCAGGGTTATCCTTTGAAATACAGTTCTGATCATGTCCCAGCCCATACACACCCCATGCTTATAAAGCCTACAGAGTTCTTATCACCGCCCTGGCGGAGCCCAGAATCTTTGGAAACCATGAGGGTTTCTATTACCCAACATCTGGCATCAACCTCCCTTCCTGCTACCCTCCTACCTTGTGACCTTTGCTTCAGCAGAACTTTTTCTTCCCACATACTCCGTGTGCCATGCACACCACCCATCCTAGAAACCTAGGAGAGGTGTACCTTGGTCCTCACATAAGCCATTCCTCTACTGTAACATTTGCCACACCAAAGCCAACATTAGGACTCCTTGGGGTCAAATGCGACAAAAGTCAAGATAGCTGTCAGGTACTCAGGATTTTGTTCTATTTCTGCATCCAAAGAGGCTTCTGGGAGACTACCAACATGACACCATTTTACCTGTATCCAAGGTGTTCAGTTTATTTGTTTTGCTTTGTTTTCCCTCATATTGTTTGTTTGAGTAGTACATGAATATGGCAAAATATGCAAGCAGTTAACAGTTCAAACCCTTGGAAGAAAGGTCTGGTAATCTACTTCTGAGAGCTCACAGCCCTGACAACATAGAGAGCAGTTGTACTCTGCACACACAGGGCTGCCGTGAGTCTAATTTGATTGGACACCAACTGGTTTGGTTTTGATGTTTTGAACCAAAGAATAAGCAGGGTAAATGAATGCCACACTCTGGCCCCATCCCCCATTTCCCTTGCTCGGAAGCAAGCCCTCTTACCAGCTTATGTGATTTTTCAGAGAGCGTCTATGCATAAATAACTATAACAAATAAAGTATAGCCTTCCATGTGCACGATTCTACTCTTCGCTTATTTCTCATCTTGTTTCACAGGCAATACGACTTTTGAACAAGACATTGCTGGCTTAATTTTAAATTATGTAGCATCTGACTTTGGAAATAAAATCAAAAGCAACCATCTCACCCAGACATCCAATTAACCTCACAGGTCCTGTCAGGACAGGGTGGAGGGGTCAAGACTGTTGAGACTTCTGTCACCCCCTTTTCTGAGGTTGCGTTCACTGTCCCAAGAAGTCTTCCAGTTTCCAGGGTCCAAAATGGGCAAACAAACAATATACAAATGAGTTTACTTCAGAAGGAGAAGACATCCTCTGCTTCCATGCGCAAAACTTCACCCGCCAGGGTGGCTGGTGCGAGAGCCCAGGCTGCTGCGAGAGCCCAGGCTGCTGAGTTTGGAACACTCTGCAGGATAATGAAAGCTTGACCAGACACCCGATGAGCCGGCCTGTTTCTCTGGCCCCTTCTGCCACCTTGCAGCTTCCTTGAAACAGCACAAGCTTCAGTCCCTGCAGCCTGCCATGCATGAGAGAAGAGAGCAATGGAGCCTCAAATATCCTCTCTTCTCTCTTAATCACCTGCCCTGGCTGCGGCAAAGAATCCCCGAGATGTTTGGGGAATGGGTGTGTACCTTGGCTCTGTGCACCTAGTCAACCGCTAACATGCAGACCCCACGCCTCTGGGCTTCAGAGTTTGTCTCAGGTGGTGTTGAGGTACAGCCCAAGAACCTTCATTTTTAATAAGCCCCTCCCTGCCCCAGGTGATTCCAATGCAGCTGATCAAAGGACCAGGCTTTGAAAACACTCTCCTATTGCTCCTAACTTAAAGGAGTTCGGTAGCAGAATGGTTACAAGTCGGACTGTTAACCTCAAGGTCAGCAGTTCTGTAGGAGAAAGATGACGCTATCTGCTCCTGTAAAGATATACAGCTTCGGGAACCCTGTACTGACTCCATGGCATATAACCACCATTCCTCCTCAGGCATGAAGAGACAGGCTGGCTTTTGAGCTACATTCTGTACAACCTGTTAGCTGTGGGATCATGAGCAGGTTACTAACCTTCAGTTTCCTAATCTGTGAAATAGGGATAGTAAACAAATCAAATCATAGGTAATGTTTAAATGAACTGTTGTCATGTGCCGTGGAGTCGGTTCTGACTCATAGTGACCCTGTACAGGGTTTCTGAGGCTGTAAATCATTACGGGAGCGGAAAGCCTCATCTTACTCCCGAGTAACAGCTGGTAGTTTTGAACTGCTGACTGTGAGATTAGCAGCCTGATTCATAACCACCACGCTACCAGAGCTCTTTTTAAATGAACTAATGCCTGTAAAATGCTGGGCGCCTAGTAAGCACTCAGTAACTGGAAGCTGTATTTTAGTAGAAGGACTTGTTTGGCCAAAGAGTAGACCATTTAAGTCTTTAGGTACATATTGCTCTCGTTTACAATGAATTTTTGTCATACAAATTTCCATTTCTTTGTCATTTTCCATGACAAAATCTCAACAACTGAGCTGTGAGAAATGAAGACACTTCTACTTCCAGCCCTGGTTATTTCTTTCATATACTCATGTCTCTCTTGCTTCAAACATAGAAACCCTCCCCTGGTACTCTTTACCCAGTCCCTGCCAGGGATGGAGGGGGCTTCTCCAGTCTGGCCACGCACCCTGGCTTATCTCTCTCTCTTGGATCAGAGAAGGTCTTGGAGGTGACAGTATCATATTAGTCTCAGTATGGAGGTGATAACTACATCTACCTGCTAATCCACCGAGAATGCTGGCCCAGCCAATTTGACATAACACGTTAAGGATTACGCATGAACATATATATTTATATACACACAGCCACTCAATTTTTCTGTGCAAGAGGTTGGGAAACAGTACATGCCCAGGATAGGACAATAGTTGACTGATTGCTTGATCCCCTAAGTCTCCAATTGGGTGAAACAAAGATACTGACAAAAGGACTCCAGGATCCAGGGCAAAGGTTATTTGATTTATGCCACATAAAAGTGGCAGTTTTGGAATCACTGAGGGGCTCAAATATGTTCCTTTGAAATGCTCTTTGAGTTCTGGGAACAAAAAGAAGTCTGTAGGGCCAAGATCAGGGATGTAGGAAGAATGGGGTAAAGTTTTCCAACATAATTCTCACAGGCCAGCCCTTGCTACCATCAAAGAATGAGGCACATTGTTGTGACGGAAAGCAATTCCTTTGTGTAACTTTCCTGGACTTTTCTTACCACTGCACTTTTCAATTGTCTTAAAACTTCTTCATAATAAGCCCTTGTGATAATCCTGTGTCGTTTGAGAAAATCTATTAAGATTACCCCTTTGGAATTCCAAAAAATAATTACCATAACCTTCTAAGTTGACATCTCTTCCTTGACTTTAACAAGTCCAGCAAGTACCCCGGAAAGCCACTGTTTTTATTGGATTGGTTTTTTGGAAGGCACCCTAATGAGATGAAGACAAGTGTATTACTCATATACGTTACTCATATATGAAAAATTCCTTCTGCTGACCTTTTCTCTGGGGGAGCTCTTCAGAAACCCTGAAAGCTTCACTGAGTTCCTGACTGACTTACTTTGATATTCTTGATTTTTCTTAGATAATTTCAAAAACTTTAGAGTTGAAAAGATCTTTAAGTAATCTGTGATAAATAATAGCTACCACTTTCCAAGACTTGCTCTGTGTCGGCTGTGTTTCAAGAAGGCATGACATAAAGACCCCATTTAATTCCAACCATAACACTAAGAGCTATGGTGGTAGTGGTGGTTATGTGCCGGGAAGTCGGTTCCACCTCATAGCCACCCTGTACAGGGTTTCTGAGGCTGGAAATCTTTACGGGAGCAGAAAGCCTTTATGCTTTGTGTTATCTCTGTTTTACAGATACAGGAACTCAGGCCCAGAGAAGTTAAACAATCTGCCAGGACTGACTTGCATGTTAAGAAAAGTAGTGATGGTGCTTAGGCCCAAACCATTTCAGGGACCTACAAAAATATATTTGTATCTTTTTTGAAATCAGAGGGAAAAAATGAACTTTTAAGTTGAAGAAAATGTTTAATAAATATTATTAATCTGTTGTTGCTGTTGTTTTGGGTACCACTGAGACAATTTTGACTTATTGTGATCCTGAGTGATAGAACAGAATTGTCCCAGAGGGTTTTCTAGGCTGTAATCATTACGGGAGGAGTCCTGGTGTGGCACTGTGGGCTAATGCGTCAGACTGCAAAGTCATCTGAACTGAAACGTCAGTGGTTCAAGTTCACCAGCTGCTCCTTGGAAACCCTATACAGGGTCGCTATGGTTCAGAATGGACTTGATGGCACTTAATAACAACAACAACAATCTTTACTGGAAGGACCCCTGGTGGCATAAAGGTTACCAGTCACGCTGCTATCTGAAAGGTCAGCAGTTCAAATCCACCAGCCACTCTGAGAGAGAAAAAGGAGACTTTCTGCTCCCATAAAGATTTACAGTCTCAGAAACTTACACTGAGTCAGGATCAACTCAGTGGCAATCGGTTCGATTTTTTTGGAATCTTTCCTGGTAAAGATTGCCAGACTTTTCTCTAGGAGCTGCTTGGTGGGTCAAACAGCCAACCTTTTTGATTTACAGTTG